ATAATTTCCTGAAAGTTAGCAGCAAATACGAGAGCGCTGAGCTTGCCTTACTTTTGTGCTTCTAGCCTTTCCAACTGTGTTATAAGCACTTAATTGCTGATTTTAAATACCTTTCAGCTTTCAGTACTTCATTTCTGGTTTTCTAACTGAAGATGGACTGATGTGTCCCATCTCCTAATTTATATAAACATGTGGTCAGGCATTTATCTGAGAAAAACGCAACTCTAATTTAATCAGTAGCAGATCCCTAACCCATAAATTCTAAGTTGATTGTAACCCCAAAGGTCACACATTTATGTGACTTCTTTTCTTCCCCGAGGTCTTGGAGAATTCTGCATACTACAGAGACCAGATCTAAAAAATGCAACACCAATATAACCAACATTTAAAGGTGATAACCTTGAGGATGGCTACATCCATACAAGTTTTTTTTTTTAAAGGTTTTTATTGGGGAATTGGGGGGATGGGAACAGCGCTGGGGAATTGGGGGAAGGGGAACAGACAAGTTGCTATGGTTTTGTTCTTCAGTCTAGTTGTAGAGGACATTGCTTCACTGGCCCAAGTTGGCACCATCACTGAGCTCTTCCCGGGAAAGGCAGATCAGTCGCCAGCTTCTGGACGGCTGCTCACTGTGGCTGCTGGCCGCTCACGCTGGTTACTGGCCACACATGGTAGCCCGTGGCAACCCACTGCAGCAGGGGCTGCAGCCTACGCCATAGCCTGTGACTCACGGCAGCCCAGCTCCAGGTTGAGCTGTTGTTCAGCATCTTAGCTGTAGAGGGCAGTGTCACTGGCCCTCATATGTGGGATCCGAACCGGGGCCCTCTGGCGTCCCAAGCCAGCTCTTAATGATCGCGCCACTCAGCCGGCCCTATACAAGTTTATTCTTGCTATTTTCAGCTTATTTCCCCTTTATTTCCTGTTGATTTGTATACATGTTAGATTTATGATTTTGCTCATCTTTTAAGGGCAGGGACTTTTTGTTTGTTCCCTAGCACCTAGAAAATGTTCAAGCATGTTGATTAAATTAAATGTAAAAATAAATGCGTGGTTTTCTATTTGCTTGATGGAGTAAACAGCAGCGTATGCATTTTGAATTTAAGTTCATTTTAGCAAACATGAGAGGATCATCAGGCCTCTTAGGTTCTCCATTCTGATTAGCAGTTTCATTTTATTCCAGAAATCCTTCACCCCACTACCTCACCCCATGGTGATGATGGATTTACGATTACACAGCTCAAACCTGACTTAATCTCATAGATTTTAGAAGGTCTCCTTAGGTGATTCTTAGGCACTAAAGCTTGAAAACTGAGCTTTATCAGTTTTGAATGAAAAGTGAGCTCCTTCTCTTTGAAACCCTTATGTAAGGAGTGACATTCAAAGAATTTAAAGACTTAGGGTTCTTTCTAGGACCCACATCTGGGAGGTGATATATAGGATCATAGAATTTTGGAGCTGGAAAGGTCCTTACAGACCATTTAATGTGAGACCCTCATTGATTAAGTCAGCAATCATATCTAGAGTTTCATAGGCAGCTTAAGGCAGAACAAAAACCAGAATCTACGTATTTTGACCTCCAATCTCATGCTTTCTTTAAGATGGCTGTCATGTGCATTTGTGCGAGTGGTGAACTGAGCGACTCTACATGGGCCAGTCATACTGAGAAGACATGCATATGTATTAGAACAGTTTTCTGAAAGGTAGCAGTCAAGTTTTAACAAAATTAGTGTAGTAGATGATTTCCCAATAGATGCAAATAAAATGTCTTGAGGAAGGGATATTGCTTTCTAATATGCACAAAGATGTAACATGGGCCTGTGACAGGCAGCCTCCCTTTTCTTCAATATAACTTTATGATTAATATAGAATGTGCAGGCACTAATCTCAGTAACAAATACAATACAGATGCCGATTATGGAAATTTGAGTTACACAAACTTCAAGTTGCTGACATAGAACAAATGTATAAAGTTTTGCTGCATAAAATTGCAACTCTCTAAAAAGCTGGCAAGAACTGCAAATTCCAAACCTGGCTGACCCAGTGAATTACAAACCATGTTCACAGATGAGCACACAGAGGTGCCGCGTTTACATGGTATGATGTGACCCACACGCTTCTTGATGTGCACCAAACCTCCACGTGTGACCTCAGTGCTATTGTTTGCACTGTAAGCCTTAAGCTCAGAAGTTATATATGATAAAGCACTCTGCACCCCTAACCACTACCATTAACAGTTTACCATCTGCTAATTTAGGAGAGAAGACACTCTAGAAAGAACCGGAGAAGATCCTGAAAAAATAAAATATAGCCCTAGACCTCCCCTCCCCAAATAAACCCCACAGCAATAACATCTCCCATCCTAACATTATTCCTCTGTGAAAACTAGTCTTAAATTATAAGTATTTTAAATTATGTGATGTGTTCAGGAAAATGCATTTTCCCTTTAAAAATTCTTCATGTCTTTAAGTGATTCTAACACCAACTCCTATGCCTGAAAGACAATGTAAAATTGAAAG